AATCTGCAATAATTTATTTTCCTGATTGGAAGTTGAAGCATTTTCAATATCTGATGTTCAATGTTCTCGAATGAGCTTATGGAACCCACTACTTTTGATTGGATTTATATTGCACTTCTGTCGTATCTCTTACTACAGTATGTTGTTATATAATTGTGCAGTTGAGGAACCTGACCTTTGTGGAACAGGAATGGTCTCTTGTCGTCGATCCATAAGCGGTCGCAGCTAGTACTCTAGTTTAAATGCTTAACGGTATCTTTGTGGGTTAGGATCTCCTTATTTTCTTTACCGGATCTCTCACCTGCTTTGAAAGGGGTAGGTTTAGATAGAGAAGACATGTAAATACTGTTTTGGAAACAAGGTTATATGTAGATTTGTAGAAGAAATTCCAGTGGGTAATAAAATAGACATGGAATCGTTGGATTGTTTCAAGCGTTGGTTAGACATACGGGTTGAGACATATAGGAATGAGTTGGGTGGCATTAGCTACCTCGCTTGGGCCAATAGGCCTTGTGTAGTTTATATTCTCATGATAGGATCTGTCATGAGAAATAATTGTAGAAGAAAATGATAGATATGATACAAATAAGACAGGGTATAAATAACTTTCAAAACAATCTTGAATAACGCAGATGACGAAATAAAGTTCCTTAAGGGATGAATAAGCGAAATAACTTGTGTATTTGTACAACCATAGTCGTCCTTTCTATGTCCAGTCTAAATATGAACAAATCGGTACAAACTGATAACAATTTGGCAGGCTTGTGCAATATATTTGCAGAAGAGAACGGCATCTTTGATAATATAATGAACCAAGCTTATTCGAAGTCCCTTCCCTCCCAATAAATCCCAGGTGGGTTTGGATTTTTTAGTGCCTTTTTTCTAACCCTGTTTTATGTAGATAATGCATACAATTATGAACGTAAATATTTGTCTACCATATTTTTCTCTGGAGACAAATGATAGCGCGCTAAACCAGGTGGAAAATATTTTAGGTGCGCCATTGAATCTCTCACGTACACAAGTCGAGAGGATGTTGGTTGATTTCCGGATGGGTTCTGAATGGCTATTTTCCCTTTGTTATAGACCGGTCCATTTGTCTGGGTTCATATGATCCCTCGACGCGCCCTCCATTACTCCTAAATTCGACCATTCCAGCTTTCTGAGCAAATATGAGGGTGAAATTCATAATTGTTCAAGGCTTCAGGTACAAATTGCTATAATTAGGAGACGGGATCAAAGAGCTAGCTCTAAAAGGTGATAGGTAAGTTCAGTAATGATCCCAGACTCAATTAACTAGCCCTTACTGAGGACTTATGTCATTGAAAAAGATAGTTGTTTCTCGGTTCCACAGTCAAACGTACGACACATCTCCACGGACTGTTGTCAAATTATAACACAGGATAATAATGCTGTATATTACAACGCGTGATCCGGCCCGGAAGCCACGCAAAAACACTTAAATTGCGTAACATGCATGGCTGCCATCCTCCCTGCTGGGGAATTATAGTGAGCGTATGTATACTGCGCAAAAAGCTGTCCTTCATATATATAACTTATTTTATTTAAATGCCACTGAATGATATACTTCTTTGTGTATTATTTACACCGAAATAACAAAAAACTCATTATTCCTGTAAATATTTAAATAAATAAGTTAGTAAATTGACTTGTTGACTTGACGAGACTTATTCAAAGAGAAGATATGAAAATTAAACCAAGTTATTACAGTCAAACACATGCAGTTTCACGTTCTTAATGTTATATATATTGACCCAGCTGTACACAGACCTTTTTTTTTGTATATTTATCCTGTATCGTCCTTTACCAATTTAAATTAAAATTAAATTTTGCCCCGAGGGGCGAGTTTATTGGGCAGCGCCACTCATCCTGTGAGTGGACACACCACCATAGCAGCATGTACAAACACTCGCCAATAGGAAGAAAACCGCTGGGTTGTTCATCCTGTCTCATGGCTGCCTTGCACACTATAGTTACAGTAAATTATATCTGTGCATCTCCTTTTGTTTTTCTTCTCAGTTTCGTAAATATATTCATAACACTATGTACAGTACAAGTTAACAAACACAAAAAAGAAGTCTGTCATGATTAAGAACGCACGTACCCACATCGCCCTTGACCCGGCCGCCGCCGGGGGGTGCTAATCTGGGCGAGCTGCACTATATAGTTGTTTCATTGGCCTCTGTCTGCTCCCTGGCGGGGTGATCTTGCCCTTGGGGAGGTGTGTGGGTAGTGCTGAGGCCACGCCACGTCTTTGGGCAGGCAATGTGCAAGATAACGATTTTTGCCACAGGTTAAATGACACCCATCCAGAGGCATCCTGCAAAGCGCATGTTAATAAGGAAGTCATTCTGTACAAACGGGCTTTAAGTACGGCGCGGAGGCAAGAGGAGGCTAGGCCACCTAGGTTCTTGAGAACGTATCTCCCTTTGGCTTTGACTGTAAACTGGACCGTAAACACTGGCTGGCATGTCGTTGACTTCCATTGTCATTTACACACTTGCTTTAAGAGATCCTTTAACTTTGTCCTTGGTGAAGTGTGGTGGTGTTTAGCGAGCCTCGGTCACTTGACCTCGGCATGATTCACCGACCCTGGGTTCACACTTGTCTTATTGCGAACGGCTTGTGCTAGAGTTGTACAAACCGGAAGAGTATTTACTCGGTTAGATTATATGTATTTGTCGTTTGGGTAACTATGACCGGTTAGTATTCATTGTTGTTACGAAGGGCGAGTTTTTTATGAGATCAGTGCCACCCGTTCTGAGAGTGAACATATTAGCACAAATGCTCTATACTGAAATCTAAAGGTGTTTGGAGTTTGGTAATTTACTACGCACCCCCATACCCATCCCTTGGGCGGTAGAGCACCCCTTACCCATCCCGTGGGCGGTAGAGCACCCCCATACCCATCCCTTGGGCGGTAGAGCACCCCTTACCCATCCCTTGGGCGGTAGAGCACCCCTTACCCATCCCGTAGGCGGTAGTGCACCTCTTATCCACCCTAAGGGAATTAGTGGAAAAGGTTAAAGAAGCAAATAATGGGCTTAGGAATTGAACCCCCAAAATAATAGCTACTTACAGTTTAATGTATATATCTTTTTTTTTAATAGCCCATTTGGTTCAAGAGCTGAGCCGCAACAATCTCTTAAGCCGAGCAGTTTACATGTTTGGTGAACCAGTTACATATTTACTAACCATGCACCCCACACCTACAAAATTCTCAGAGGAATTGACAGGGGTAGATAAAGATAAACTGTTTAACACGGGTGGTACGCGAATAAAGGGACACAGGTGGAAACTGAGTATCCAAATGAGCCACAGGGACGTCAGAAATAACTTTTTCAGTGTCAGAGTAGTTAACAGATGGAATGCACTAGGAAATGATGTGGTGGAGGCTGACTCCATACACAGTTTCAAACGTAGATATGATAGAGCCCAGTAGGCTCAGGAATCTGTACACCAGTTGATTGACAGTTGAGAGGCGGAAGCAAAGAGCCAGAGCTCAACCTCCGCAAGCACAACTAGGTGAGTACACCCTTCCAACGGGCAGTGGTAGAAAGTTTACAATCGCGAGCACGCACTTCCTTCAATAAGCAAACTTTGGTTATTTGGTCAAGATATCTGGTAGTACGTATTTTGTAATTAAATGCTTGAACATTTGTAATAAATTCTCAGAATGCTGAATTCTTCTTTCCCATTTTAAATTACATAGTGATGTAAAATGTGTATAGTTACGCTTGCCTGACCTACACAAGAACCCATGAACAGAAAACAGGACCTCGTCAATTTCGCGAGCCGCTACCATTTTCAGTCCATGGGTACTCATATTTGTCATCACGTCAGTACTATTCTGGATAAGGGGTGGATCTCTACCAAGCCTAAGCCTAGCAGTAAAGAAAAAAAGTAAACCTGGCCCCAGGAATAGGAGACACTGTAAACCTAATCCAAAGGGTAGGAGGCACTATAAACCTAACCCAAGGGGGTAGGAGACACTAAACCTAACCCAAGGCATAGGAGACACTGTGAACCTAGCCCAAGAGGTAGGAGACACTGTAAACCTAACCCATAGGGTAGGAGACACTGTAAACCTAACCCAAGGGGGGTAGGAGACACTGTAAACCTAACCCAAAGGGTAGGAGACACTGTAAACCTAACCTAAGGGGTAAGAGACACTGTAAACCTAACCCAAGGGATAGGAGACACTATACCTAACCCAAGGAATATACTCCAAGTATGTGTATTATTTTTCTCTTAAATTCTCCTTCCCCCCCCCCCTGCAATTGGTTCAACTCCACAGTAATGTCTTTTCTTATAATCTTTCATTTGCTTATGCTAAATAATTATAATACCTTGTGAATTATACTATGTAACACATCTAGAGCTGTGACAATGTGTCACAGTTCTAGTTAAGAAGTCGGATGCCTTCTTGAGCCTTCAGGTAACCTTCAAAACATCTTCCTTATTAAGAAGATTTGACCTTAAGGCAAAGGTCAAAGCAAAGTTTGAGCATTTTCTATATTTTGGAGTATTAATTTGATTGATAATGACTCCAGAATTTACCTGAGGGCCACTAACACTAGTAGCCTCAACAAGGACATGAAGCTGGTGGATTGTCAAATGTCCCCTATTTGGCCTGATGATTTTTTCCAGCTGGATTTTAAAAACGGTTTTGGCATTTACAGCTATGGTGGGTAGGCAGTTCCACAGGTTCATAACTTTGTGGGTGAAAAAGCATTTCCTGCTTTCACTTTTACATTGTGATTTCTTGAACTTAAAACCATGTCTCCTTGTTTATACTGTATATTAAATTGACACCTAAATACTGTAGCGAATATTTATATTGACACCTAAGTACAGTATGATGCCACTGATTTAATTATGTTAAGGAAAATAAATTACTACTGTATTACCAAATGTTAAGTTGTGACTCCTGGTTGTATAGGTACTATTGTTGACCATGTTCTATCTCTTTTTAACAGACCCAATGTGTGTGTGGACAGAGAAGAAATTGATGAAGGCAAGGATCTGGATGCTGATGGTACGAGCATCTCTGGAGCCACTGGCTCCTCGTTCATCTTTGCCATGGGTAGTATGGAGGTGACTTCATGCAGTGAGACAAGGGACAAGTACACCTGCACCTCCAAGTGAGTCACATCCTGGTTTGATTAAAATATATATGAGAAAGTATTTAATGATATGTGGTATGTGTTGAACTGTCTTGTTTATTTATTATATTGTCTTTTATGTTCCAGTATTCTTATAAGTTATTATATTTCAGGAGCTCGAGTCGTGGGCTGCACAAGACGGTGGTTGTGACGTACCGCTGTTGCCATGGATATATCAAGGAAGACTCAGAATGTTCAAAGGGTAAGAAGTCATTGATAATCATTGAAAGAAACAAGACTCTTTGCTCTTTATCTTCGATATGTTCTTTAATCTGAAAGCATGATTTGCTTGAAGTGAGGGTGTTTTTTGTAGAATCTTCCCAGACATTTTAGATTCCATCAACAAGTGTTTTAAAGCATTTGCAAAAGAATTCAATATTCTGATTTGGTAGCAGATTGTTTTAAATGAAAATGTACACATTTCTTGAACATTTGTTATAGGTCTTTCGGTAAGTACAGTCGTACATCTGCAAATGAAGAAAGATATTAGAATTGAACTTGCAATGAATACCTTAATGGTTATAATTTATTATGGAATACTGTACATGTAACTTAAATTTTCTGCAGTTTAAGTTGATTATTAATATACTGTACTGAAGTTCTTCTATATACCGTACTGTAAACTGAATTTTCAAGCATATTCTTTTATTACATACAGTGCAATATTTAATGCTTTCAGTTGAGTTGCTTGACCTGCCCGAGACATTGCAGAAAATAGAAGCAACAGACTTCCTCTCTCTCATTAAAACTGTAGGCGCTGGAGAGATTCTCAAAGATAATGTCACACTCTTCGTTCCAACCAATGAAGCTATGCAGGAATATACTGCTGACTTGGAGGCAGAGGTCAGTTGCAGGTTTTCTGATTCTGTTCATCTTTGAAAGAATGTTTGCAGTTTGCTCAATAGACTTTTCTGATGTATTCATAACGTGAGAATGTTTATGATGTTACAAGGAAGGATAGTAAAATGTGTAGTAGCTTGGCTATAATTACTGGGGAACTGCGCTTTACTTGCAATTTTGTTCAGGTATATATTTGATACTCCACATTGGTATTTGTTAAGGATCCTATTTGAAAAATAGCATTTTAAGGTTATACTGACAACACAATGTGCAGATTGATTTGTCTTCTCATATTTAATTTAATTTGGACCCTTATTTAATACATAATAAACTTTGTCATTGATTATTTCAGAATGAGTTGGACAATGCTTTAGAAGGAGATCGTTCTTTAAATGAGGTGTTTTATCGGCGACGTCGCTCCACTAATACCCAGTCTCTCATTCTTTCCCACGTGACTAAAGGCATATTTTATGGTAGTGACCTTCATGATGAACAGGTATGGAAAAATGACAGAAAGGTGTTATTTTTATGACATTTATAAACATCAGGGAATAAAATAAACATCAGGGAATAAACTAGAATTTTTTCTAGAAATCCTTTGGACCCATATGAGGCAGCTTCTAATATACCCATCCACACCAATGATTTTCATCTCTAACCTACTCTTGAAATAATCCAACAACCACACACACATTATACTACCTGGCCATCTATTTCACATGCCTGTAATACTCTTTCCAAACCAGTATTTACTCAGTTATTTGCTTAACCTAAACTTACCCAATGACCTGTAACTTTGCTGTAAAATTTTTGCTTGCTCTGAGGATCATGCAATAATTTTGTGTATATGACAAAACTTTATATCAGTAAGTATTCCATACATGTTCATCGTTTGAAAACAGAAGTCAGTCCAACAATAAGCGCTTTACACACTGCGATTGCATTTTCAGTTTGGGGGTAATAAATTCAAATAAATGTGTGCAGGATCACGTTGCCTCTGAAAGTCAACTGAGTTTCTCTTTCTTTTTTTTTGTGCAGGTCCTCAACAGCTTAGCTAACAACTCCACTCTCAGGATAAACACGTACAGCACCAACCCACCAGCTGCCACCGTCAATTGTGCCAGACTTGTCAAACTTAACCAGTACTCCAGTAGTGGCGTCGTTCATACCATCGATAGAGTATTGGAGCCTGTTACCAAGAGTTTGGCTGATCTTATCACCTCTGATCCTCAGTTCTCTGTTTTGAAGCGACGTAAGTATTAGTTACCTATTTCATAAATTTAGCTTTAAGGACTACATTACAGAACTGTTTAAAACTGAACCTACTTCATTTATGAAACAAAAAAGAATAATTCCCAAATTTAAAATACAGTATTACACTAATACGCAGATGAGGAGTCATAATAACGTGGCTGAAATATTTTGACCAAACCACACACTAGAAAGTTAGAGTTTTACACTAATAATTTTATTAAAAACTTTTATGATTTTAATTAAGACAGTTAAAATTTTAATAAAATAAAAGTAAAATTGTAGGTGCAGTGATAGACTTGATTAGGAAAAACTAAGATTGATGCAGCCAGAGATTTACTAGAAGCAGAAGTACCTACCGATAAATGTCAAACTCTGACATCTATCTGTATGGGTAGGTAGGTGGGAGTTACCTGCAGTCACCTTGATAGGTAGCTGCAGGTAACTCTGCAACCACCTTAATCAGCTATGGTGATTCCAGGTCCACCTGTTCATTGGTAATGCTGTGTAGTCTATAATGAATTGATGAGTTTTATCTCTTAAACATCTATAACCTTCATTCACTATATTACTCTCCAATTTTTTCTCTGTTCTGATGTCATCCCACCCAATGAAATTGGGAATGGAATAATGATAATATATGGAAGCACAGTAACTCGGTCTTTGATAATACAAATTTTCAAATTGCTTATGTAAAAGATTACATGTAAGTGGCTATATGAATTCTAATTTTGCATTACTAATGTATTTTCAGTGGTAAGCCAGGCTGGCTTGTTGAGTCAGCTGAGAGAACCAGGACAGTTGACAGTTTTTGCACCCACTGATGATGCCTTCAATTCCCTTGCTGAGCCCGTTTTGGAGGCTCTGATTGATGGCAGTGCTTGCCTTGAAGGTTTGTTTTTTTATACAATACAGTACTGTATAATATTTGAATTTTTTTTATTGAGAACTGTGACTGTACTAAGGCTGCATGTGCAGCCCATTTTCAAAATTTCCTCAGTACTATTATTACTTAATTTTTGTTCACGTTATTTATTACCGGTTTATCATTAAATAATTTGTTTATTACAGCTGTGGTGAAGAACCACATCTTGCCCAATGTGATCTGCTCTGCTGCCATACAGGGCAAGGCTCGCACGGTAAACTTGCTCGAGAACTATCTTCTCTTGGAGAAAACCGAAGATGACAAAATCTTTGTGGAGGATGCACAGGTTGTTGTCAGGGACGTTGTCGGTACCAATGGTGTCCTTCACATTATTGATAGTCCGCTCATGCCGCAGGAAGGTAAGGCATAATTCTTTGTTTCTTTTAGTAAAGTATATATTGTTCATAGTTATATAAGCAATTCTTCTTTTTCATTATGTATATATTTTTTTTTTACATTATCGTTATCAAGCTTCTAGTATGGATTGTTTTGTATGTAAGTTCATATTGCAAGTGGAATTTATTATGATGCTCTTCCAGTGTTCTATTGAATGAAAATGCACAGTATTTCAAGGTATGGTACTGTATTTAGATTGGCAATATAGATGAGCAAGCTGTAATATTGATAAAAGAATTGGTACTATGTGCTGCAAAAGATCATTTTTAATTTGTCTGATCTTTCAATTTGTAAATTGTGGAGAAAGCATTTGTATGTGTCCTTCAATAATTTTTAGAAACAATTTACTTTATAGGCTAGCAACTTGCCAAACCAGAAGATAGTGTAGCCAAAAGTCTTTGCATGGCAGGTCAGAGCCTGCAACAATGTGTGGAGGGAAGGAAGGAACTATAGGGAAAGTGCCAAGCCATTACGGCTATATAGCACTTGGAAGGGGTGAGGACAAGGATTTGGAATGGGATGGAGGTGGTGGGGGGCGGAAGGAATGGTGTGGAAGCTGACAAAATCTATTTTAAGAGGGATAGAGGGGGAATGCTGATGTGGAAATAGGGTTGTAGATAAATGGAATGGAAAGGAATGCCAGCTAGCATTATTGAAACAAAGTTTAAATGGTTTCAATAATAATTTGACAAGAATAAGTGAAATGTGATGGATTTTGTTGGGACTTTCAAAGTATGGGCTAACAATCTTGCTTCAATGCTCCCTAATTCTTGTATTCCTATGTATGCAGTACAGTAATTTATTGTTCAAACCACTTGAGAGGCAGGATAAAAAGTGAGCATCTCAAATGTCATCCTGTCTGGTGTATAAATAAGTACATTATATTCATAGACTCCAAACTTATCTTTTTTCTTTTTTGGGTGGAATAACAGCTAAACCAGTGACAGAAGTTCTAGAGGGCCATAATCTTACCAGCTTCTTAGATCTACTTGAAGCAGCTGGAATGATTGATGAGCTTGCAAGTATGACGGATGTTACTGTCTTTGCTCCAAGTAACAGGGCTATTGATGAGCTGCCAGAAGATGTCCTAAATAATCTTAAGGTACATAGTGTGTTTTATAATATTTGTTGCTTTACTTTAAGGACATTGCCAAAGAACAAAAATTGGAATCATCCTATTTATACAGTATAACCCCAGTTTAATCCTGTGCATAATGAAGTGCTGGATTACTGTGTAGGAAACAAACCATACTTTTGATCTTTCATTTTTCCAGAATGATCCCAGTAAGCTGAGGGAAATTCTTCTGTACCACATGGCTACACCTTCACTTCAAGCTAATGACATTGCAAATGATCATATAGCTACTACCCGAGCTGACCATCCTCTCAGGATCAATCTCTACTCTAGAGTGAGTTATTCAAATCAGCTTTAGGCAACTGAATGATACTATGCTTATGTAGATAATAAGTAGGTACAGTAGTATGAAAAATGTATATGAACATTTACATTTTATATGTACAGTTTTAATCTAAACTGAATATTTTTATTCATTGCATTTATACTGGTAACTGAGATGTAGTCAATTATTGTACTACCAGTATTGTCTTTATAATTCATGTTAATAACACTTTCAGTCACCAATTTTGTCTGGCGTCTTGGGAACAAATGGACGTCGCCATGTTCGTTTGACAGCTGGGTGTAGTCGAGTCTCGGTGCTGGATTCCCGAGCTTGTGGGGCAGTGGTTCACATTGTAGAAAAAATGCTGAAAATGCCAAAGACCAGTGTGATGCAACATTTGGAGGAGGAGGAGAACTTTTCCATCTTTACAAAGATGTTGCAGGTTGGCCTACAGCATACCCTTAATAACTTAATAAGATTTACTGCATTCAGAAGTATAAATTTCTTTAGTTTGTCTCATAATTACACAAATGTGGAACACTTTGATATCATATTTTGGCGGTGATAACTTGTCATGTATGCTTTATTATGTATACAACCTGGGTTTCTTTATCACCTTGCAGAATACTGGCCTTAATGAAACATTAAGTGAAGAGGGACCATTTACTGTACTTGCTCCTACTGACCATGTCTTCAGAACACTTCCTGATATGGAACTAAAGCAGATTTTAGAAGATGTGGACCTCCAGAAACTCCTTATCAAACAACATGTCCTCAAAGGTAATTAATTTAAGGAAAATCAGCTGGACAACTAAACTGAGACATGGACTACTATTTAAAATTAAATTTGCATAGAATTAAATACGTAAATACTGTGCAGTAAATTAATTTTAAATGAACTGGAATCACATCCCCGTAGATTTAGAAAAAAGAACAAAGGTTGAAATTTATTTCAGGAATACAATATAGGTATCTTTTAATGGCTATTTTTCCTGCATCCGCTTATTTTATAAACAAAATTATACAGTGAAACCAGTAATTTCACTACTGAGCATCAGGGTCTAATCCCACAAGCATTCATGGATGGATCATGTTACCATCTTGTACACTGACCTGACTGATTGAGATGGAACTTTGAGAGCTACCAAGAATCCCACCTAAGGTGTGGAAGGGCTTTACAGCCTCAAATCCACAAATTACTGATCTACCACAAGCACTGTAGTATGAAGGAATGATGGTCAAATTCTGTAACTCATAACCAATATAAATACAGTATTGCCCAAAATTTGTTTGGATTAAATACATTCATTATACAGGATTAAGAAATTAGAGGAAATATGTATTGGGTAGTTTTGAGTCATTGATCACCAGGCACAGATACTATGGGTTAGATATGGATAGGTGAGCAAATAATATTGTGTTATCAGGACTAAGCAAAGGACATAGTAGTGGATTTTAAAGATTTTGACACTTCAATTTTATTTTTTACACTGTGACAAATGAAGATCAACTTTTTATCTATTTTTATGCCAAGGTATTTCTCTTCTGCTCAGTTCTTAGTTGATAGTATCAGAGGATGCCAATATGGCCATGATGGTACAGTACTATATTTTGGTTGTTTCATGAAATGGGTGAAACTACTTGTCAATAAAATAGCCATAATTTCTTAGGTATTTTTTACCTTCAGTCTAGTTCCAAAAATCTCCCTCCAAAACATAACAAAATTGTGTTTAGTAATACTATTGCATATTTATGTACAATGTTTAAATTTAGTGCTACTTTACTTTTCCAGGTTTGTCATTACAGTTTACCAAAAGCTGCTATTCTGTGATTAACAAAATATTATTTATTTCCAGAGCATGTGTGTTGTGCTGGCATCAACCCCAGCACTTGGCTCTTCATGGACCACAAGAGGCCAATGGAAGGAACTCCAATTCATGTTCGTCGTACAAGCTCTGGTCGCCTCATGGCGGGGTCTGCTCGCATCACTCATTGCTCTGCTCCTACATTGAATGGCCTCGTCCACACAGTCAATCATCTTCTTGTAAATGTTCACCCTCGCCAACAAGTAAATACTCAAGTTCGTACTAACAGGCCCATTTTTTCTGCTCCTGGGTTTGAAATTTTGTTTGGCTAATGGAAAACTTTATGACATTGGGAGTTTGTAACAGAGGGTGGTGAAAAGCAATTTGAGATCCTTCAGTTATAGCATATAGTTTGTTATCATCATGCTATATACCTGTTTGTAGATCAAGTTAGTTATTTGTTGACTTTAGATACATACAGTAATAGCATATCTCTGGTAGGGTAAACCTACTTTCCAGCTTATCATATATAATATTTATGAACACATCTAATCACACTAGATTATAAGATTTGAAGGATACTTTTAGTGCAACGTTATATCAAAACAATTGCTGATATGCTTGACTGGAATGAATATTCTGTGTATCAGTGATTAGCCGTTATTTAATGTACCGTAAATGTCTTTTTTTTTTCTTCTTTTTTTTTATGTACAGTATATGACGTTTCCAAGTTTTGACATTCCTAAATCTCCCTTTTCAACCAGCAAGTAAACAAGTGTTTATCAATAGCTTTACAATTTTGTTTATGCTTGTGAATACAAACACCCTCCCCTAAGTAAAATAAAGTTAACAGAAAATTCACAAAATATATATATTATTAAATCTTTTGTCTCAAAACTTTAATTTGATTAGTCTTACTACTGTATCTTGAATATAGAAAATAAAATGTTAACATTATTATCAGTATTAATATATTTTAATCTGGAGAACCTATATTAGTTCTCTTCTTTTTTGTTTTTGTTTTGTTTTTATCTTCAACATGCTATGCAGATAAACTGTCTTGGCTGTTGTACCATTTTGGGGAGTACACCTTGCATTATAGTTGACATATTAGCTTATTTATTTATCTACTAATTTACCATGGCTTCACAGGATTTTTACACAAAATCCTGTGGTGTATAGTTATAAGTACAGTACCATATGTTGAGAAATATGTATTGCATCATAATAAATTTTACTACATACTTTCTTGTTTAGTCCTTTCCCTGCTTAATGGTTGCTACCATGTAGCCATATTTCTCAGTGTTACCTAAAGGCCACAGGAAAATTAGTCTTCTTTAACATCAATTTTATATCTCTTTGGCCTAACAATACTTTATTTCACATTAATATTAATTTATATTAAATAAAATTTGTTATACTGTACTCAGTATGTTAAAATTGATGAAGATGTCTTTGGGTTTGGCTGCAGCTTAGATGAGCATAGACTGAGGATGGGTTGTCATTAACTTTACCAAAACACGTTTACCTAACCTTAACTAGGGCTAACTGCATAATATATAACATTAATTAATATTTGACTGGTCGATTATTACAACCACATTTGGGTCCAATGGACATTTCACATGCTCATTCACCACCCTCTAAAGAACAGTAATTACCGGTATTGAAATTGTTGTCATAGTGATGTCACATTGTATATATAAAAACTTTTTTGTTTGGTCAAATTACATTAGATTTATTTAATGAGTAAGATGATTTAGAGTGCCACATACATTTCTCTGGTTTTTAGTTTAGTTCATATATTATGCACCCCATACTCATCATGTGGACAGTAGTAGAAAGGGTTAGAGGCACAAAGGGCCCCAGGGACTGAACCCCAAAAATTCATTTAGCTAAGTTGCAGTCTTGATATGCTAGTTACCAATTTTAATGTATATTGTTATATCAACAATGGTCTTGAGGCCGACCATTCCGGCTTCAAGGTATGGTCATTTACCATAAACGTCAATTATATATAATTTAAGAACAGATCTACCAGAAGCTAAGAAACTTAAATACGACTAATTACACCGGTTTATATCGCTGAAAATATGAAGCATCTTGCCACTGTGGCTTGATAAATTGAAGTTTCTAAGCTAAAGAAACTTAAATATGTGGTGAACTAGAGCTACAGTAGTATCATAATTGGCGTGTTTATCCAGCACACTGGCCGCCATCCAGTGGACAGCAGTGTAAGGGTTACAGTTACCCACATTTACTAGCTACAGTTAGCAAACTGGAGATATTGGCTAAAATTTCTGGTAGATCATTTTAGATCTGTACTGAATGAAATATTTTCACAATTTGCAGTTCAGTTTTGGTCGCCTATTATAGAATGGACATAAATTCATTACAATACATCCAGCATAGGATGACAAAGTTAATCCAGAAAATTTGAAACCTTTCATATGAAGAGAGATTGAAAAAGCTTAATTTACATTCTCTAAAAAGGGGTGACATGATTGAGGTGTTCAAGTGGATTAATGGGCTTAACAAAAGGGATATTAATAGGGTATTAAATGTATGACATAATAAAACACTAAACAATGGATATAAATTAGATAGGTTTAGATTTAGGAAAGACCTTGGTAAGTGCTGGTTTGGTATCAGTTGTTGATTTGTGGAACTAATTACCGCGTAACTTAATTGACATAGGATCCCTTGATTGTTTCAAGTGTAGGTCGGCTTGGTGCCGTCTTTTGATAATTACTTACTTCGAGTGTAGTTTAGACAATAATAATAAACACATGTATATGAATGAGTTTGGGTGGATATAAATAGGAGATGCCACTTTGGGCCAATATGCCATTTGCAGTTTCCTTAATTCTTATGTGGTGTTCTTTAATTCCATTTATCTACCCTCTGGAAAAAGTGAACTTTGCTACGAATTTTCTACACCTTATGGCCATTAACAGACAAAATAATGCCAGGAAAAGGGTCAATGTGTTCAACTAAGATGCTATTCATTTTTAGGGAGAGTATACAAAAAGTTCTTTCTCGCATCCTAGTAATGCTGAAACTCAAAAAGGTGAAAAATCTATCACCTAGCATATACCTTAGCCACACACGGCCACCATTTTGAGAATTTCAATTAAATTAGTTCTAGCACACCAATCTAAGCTCCAGTAATGCCCTAGTTGAACTCGTGAGTAATTTTTTTTGAGTAGCATCTGTGAACAACTCGTCCTCATATATAGCGTCAAAAGATTGTTATTTGCTTAGCTAAACGAACTAGAGGGTTCAGTTCCTGAACCGATTATATGCCTCTGTAATCCTTTACACCGCCTCCCACGGGATGGGTATGGGGTGCATAATAAAGAAAGAAATTGAATCGTCCTCACACTAGGCTGTTTAAAGCAGGGACCGTCTTCCCTAGACGCATTCATCAATTTTAAATACTGTGCACAAAATTCCATGCAACTTGCAGTTGGAAATATTTTATTAATAATAATTTAAATTAATACAAAGTTATACCGCCTATGGTATTTGTGTTCACCCGACGCACAACAAATTCTACAATATACAAGAATGAGGGTGTGGATGCAGAAGAAAAATATCTTCCTGATAAAATTGTAAAGATGTAGAGAGACTTCACACCCATAAATTAGGCTTCATACAAGGAATATTGGCAAGTTATCCTATTATCACTTTATGTTATTCACATGGAGTGACGATATTAATGAAACCATTAAATTATGTTATATACCCTATACTAAAATATATTACTCTGAAAACAGTATGAGTGGGTAAACAAAATATTGGGCTACTTTGATTATAAATTCGCCACTCCTTCAAAATTCAAATTCAAATTCAATTTTTTTATTCAGGTAAAAATACATACAATGATGAAGAGTTATAAACATAATGTTGGATTTATAGATAGGGCTAGTACATACAATACCTAAAGCCACTAGTACGCGTAGCGTTACGGGCTGTAGTCGTTCAGCAGTTAGTGTCAGGCTGTCAGTGGTTACGAGGTCCAGTGACGGGTGAGGCTGCGTGTGTTGCGCCCTTACCTCTCACACCGGTTTATATCGCTGAAAATATCATCCATCCTGCCGCCGTGGCTTGAAAATTTGCAGGAAATGTGTGATTCAGAGCTTCAGGGAACAGTGAAGCCAAAAGAAATTACATTGTGATGAATTTAGATAACAAATAATGACATCTCAAGGAAGTTGAAACTGTTGTTCCGTGGAGTGTCCAGTGCACTATATACAAAGTGAGAAAAAACACTTTTTTTATTATTCGAAAGAAAAACTAAGTTTAATACATTTAAAAAAAGGATAGAATTGCTTAGGTTATTTCTACCCTCCTGAAGATGAACTAGCGAGTGGCAATGTTGCCACCCGGCACAACTTACACCACCTTCCTCTGTTGTTGTTTTAGATTAAGCTACTTAGAACAAAAGTTCCAAAGTAGCACGGGCTATGGTGAGCCCGTAGTGGACTTACCTGGCACAGGAGCGGGGCTGTAACTGCCCCGATTAACGCTACCATATATATTATACTCGCCTGAACATCATTCCAAGATCGTATATGGAGAAACATCTTGACCCTTGGTGAGTACCCATATTAAGTAATTTATACTGATGAAAGCTTGTGGGTTTATTTTATAGTCATAGTTTATGACTAGTTTATATAGTTTACGTGCAAATATGACATTGAAAAAATATAGTAATTGGCTTCTTGTGTGCGAGGAGGCTTCTTGTGTGTGTCATGAGGAGGATATAAAGACGTGTGAGGATCTATTTTAATAAATATTAAAATTACAAATGTAAATACTACAAAATTTATATGGCATTAATGTTGAATAGTAAACTTAGTGTCATGTGAAATATTCCTTAGGAATTAAATAACCCTGACTAAAGTGTGTGTATTATGAAATCAAATCAATAAATGATTTAAACATCGTCAATGAACTTTACACTGAGATTGTATGAAAGAATAAATTAAATTAGTTCCAGTCCTTCCGTATGGTATGACGCTGCACTAACAATAGTTCAGTTATCATAGCACGATGTATTTAATTTTATAAATGAATACACAGGTCTGCAAATACTTAAAACAGTTGGTAAACTCTTTCAAATAAAAACGTAATGCAACTGTTTTATACTATTACAAGAATTTATTAGGCTATCTATATTAAAAAATACACAAGGAATTGAATTTATATGTAATCAAGAATTGCTGCTTAGGAATCAATTTTTTTTTTCAATTGCCAAAGATGGTCAGTTCAATGTGTTTTAGATGACCTCTATCTCCTGAGCTGTTCTTGATGGCCACAGTCCAGGTGCCTGATGGATGTTCTCCCCAGAAGTGGACGGACATGAACCCCCAAGGATTAAAGCCCATGGTGCTGTTGTCTGCGGGACGGTGAGTTAGGACCTGTGATGTGGTGCCTGGTGGAAGGTGGTGAGACAGTTTTAGACCTCCGATAAAACTGTTAATGATACAAAGATTTCTCATTCTGCCTTAATCATTAATGCCATGTTTATTCTGGCAACTTTACTTCCCTGATTTGGACAAATATCAGAAAAATTCAAATGAAGATTTTAAGGGGCGCTAAAACCCTTTTCTTAAGAACATGTGAGAAGCTCATGAAATAACCTCGATCTTTCGCACAAATTAGTGCTGGCAATGGGAAGAAATATTTGTTATCAAATAATTGTAGTGTACTAATCTTAGCATGATTTGGACTGTGGTTGCAAGGTTTCCCCATTTTCTGGCAGCAATATGCAGTACACGTATGCTGTCTGTTACCTGTTGGTGACACTATGAAGATTGATAAAAGCTTTCTGCTTGGATGGGCGAGATTGATGTGTGCAATGACATGTTCCACACCCGTCATGCTGGACTCCACGGGGACATTTGAGACGTCCATGTCTTTTGATATGTTTAGCCAACTGTTTGGATAGAGAGTCCTGGAAGAAAAAGAATCATTATTACAGTGTTCCCACTTTAATGGTGCCAGGGAGCGTCAGCCAAAAAGGAAAAAGGCATTAGGGAAAAGTTTAACTATGTTTTAAAAAAGATACATTCCTCTATTTTTATAAATTAATATTAATACCTCATCTTCATCAAAGATCTTAACAATGTTTGTTTACCCCTAGTATTTTTTCACGACACGCCAGTTGATATAACCAGATAGATTTATCATGAACAATGCTAAGCAGGAAACATTATAACAATGATAACAACAGTGATACATGCAGGACTTCATAATTCACACTCACCTATAGCCTCTGAATATGGGTTTGGAGACTGTTCTCTGGGGGTTGACGTTTTTCCACGATAGGGCCGCCTCCACCATCTTGCCCGCGTTAACTGCTCCAAACCCCTACAAAAGAAGGCTTACGGTTATATCTATATGAGATTTTTATGCCTCGTACTCTACATGCTTACAAAACTTGATCGTGTTCCATGCTATTGGTTTCCTATTATATATATATATATATATATATATATATATATATATATATATATATATATATATATATATATATATATATATATATATATATATAATATTTCCTTAAGTACTTTCGTATATTAATACATCTTCAGAAGGAATTGATTCCATCTGAAGATGTATTAATATACGAAAGTACTTAAGGAAATTCCTGTTTCAATTCTTCCTCCGTGGTCTGACACTGTCACTTTTTTCATCACGTGCTAATTTTCGTGATTTACACACACACACACACACACATATATATATATATATATATATATATATATATATATATATATATATATATATATATATATATATATATATATATATATATATATATATGCATGTCATATTGAATATGACAGCATATTCCGTATTTACTATTTTCTGATTTAGGGCTTCTATCCCTCTAACTAATGCTCTTGCATCAGGGTTCAGCTGGAAGAGGAGTTCACCAAAAGTCATGTTTTTTTAGGTGAAGAAAAGAATTGAATAACTGAAGAATATATTACACTAATTACAAAATCGCACAACATTTCGAACCTCCATGGTTCATTCTCAAGTGAAAAGAAATTACAGAACTCGTTAATTTATACCAGTACGGGGTCAGGTGATAAACAAGGTCTCATAAACAAGGCTCACCTGCATGAGGTGGAATTTCTTGCCGTAACCATTAGTATGCCAACCCTCCTCCTGCAGGGCTTCTTGGGTCGGGGTCGCCGTCTCCACCACCAGATGTTGCACGTCTCGCCAAGTTAGGTTCGAGCTGGTGGAGCATCCAATATATTATTATTAGGCAACACCTTTATTTTCGGTTTGTTTATAAAATGGTCTAGTCGTGGAGGATATAAATAGGAGTGGGTATAAATAGCAGCTGCCAGGTTTGAAGCAAATATGTAATGTGCGTGTAAATTTTAATTAACAAAGCTAACTTCAAGCAAATTATGGTGTATACGTATCATGAGGATACCAGCTTTAAACAAATGCATCATGATACATTTTCCACTGTTTATCCATGAACCATCTGAGACTAGATTAGAGAGTCAAAGAGTCTATGTAGTAAGTAAATTGTAAGATCAAAGAACAATTGTAGTATTTGTTGAGTCTTCTAACAATAGCAAAGAAACTGATACCCTTAACAATTACATAATTAGCTGAGAAAATTTTGAATATTTTGTCAGAAGTGACGTGACATGCTTATATCCTGCACATTGTCAAACTGGAGGAACTCACGCATATGCCTGTTAATTTCAATATTCCATCATAATGTTATGACAGTATTATGAAGCTCGAGGGCAATAAAAATGTGAATTATCAACCCATCAGCTAAGAATAAAGCTTAACTGACACCACTAGAATACATCTATGAATCTAGGACTGTAAGGATTTACTGACAAATGTAAACAAGTAAAATAAAACATTGGAGAAACGGTTGAGGACAAGCAATGTGCTGTTTAATAATTGTTTTGGTTAATAGGTACTTGTACACTAGAACAGTACCAGATTGCTCAACTGATTATTGGTTTGGTGGGGGCTTGAACCTTAGCACACGTCTGAAGGGTTATTAAGATCGCTAGTGTACAGAACCAACCAGCAACTCTAATAGCCTTAACAAATTTTCAGGATACGTATATGCTATAGGCTTCAAGTTAATACAGTAAAGCATATTAGAGAGATACTACACGAAAAAAAGTAACAACAACAAACTGGGAATGCCTAACAACAACTGCTACAATATTCATTTATGCAACACGAAGATTTCAACCAAACAAAACGTGTGTACAAACTTTGCATGAAGAACGATTGCCACAACGCCTGCCATCAGAGGAGCAGCAGCAGAGGTTCCTTGGAATGTGGCGCTGCACTGGCCATCCAACTCTGGTACTACCTGCCAGGAACACAGATCTGATAAATATGAGGAGAAAACCCGAAGCCAACACGGCTGAATAGCACTTGAAAGGGGTATACTGGCAAGGAACTGAGATACGTGGAATCGTGCTCTGAATTTGATTTGTACCCAGGAACAAACTTCACAATTACTAGCGGTTTCGAAACATTGGAAAGTCTTACCACTCTGTGTTCCTCCACGTGTCGTTCTTGTTGGTCAAGGGCGTCCTGGATGGAGTGGTCACCGCCTACATACACAGCGGCCAGAGTTGAGGCGCACGGCTCCTCGTAGAAGGTAGAGGTGCCCATATCAGTGAGGGCAGATACAGAGAGGGTGTATATGGATGACGTGTAGCCATCCAGGTTGCAATTGTCATCCATCAGGCCACCGTTGCCGTTGGCCCACACGTACACTATGCCCTTCCCGCCTCGTCCCTGAATTCGAATAATTATTGACATTTGCGAGTAAAATAAACAGAATAAGATTATTACTAATTATATTGATATGAAAAAACGTGGAATAATAATAATGATAATGTAATAATAGTGTCAAAAGTGATTTAGCTGTAACTTCCTGGTTACCTTGGTGATGCCTTCAATGAAAGCTAGGCTAGCCAGCGGGCCCGGCCCTTCCATGTGCGCCCCGTCATCCATGGGCCCCCAAGAAGCACTGAAGACGTCCACTTTGTCGTGATGGCGAGACAGTGCCGTTGCTTCTTGAATATCCGTCACTGTCCCGTCCACTATACGCACACCTATTAAGAGTCATAATAATAATAATATTAATATAGAAATAAGTTGTTTCATCTGTTGCTCTTCTGCTTCTCAAATAGGATTATGATCTGTTTACAGATTTTCAGTATACAATTGCAGCAGTACAGCTAAAATAGTTTACCTCTAACCCTCGCCTCATGTGCCCCTTCAGCACCTCTCCTCTCACGTAGTTTACCGTCACCACTCTTCTCATTAGCAACACCATTCACATATAGTTTTCCAGCTCGCCTCATAAGCTACCCCAACACCACAGACAAATGGTTTACCACCAACTCTCGCCTCATAACCCACCCCCAACACCACAGACAAATGCTTTACCTCCAACTTTTGCCTCATAAGCCACTCCAACACCACATACAGAGTTGTTAGAGACGGCAGCCACGATAGCAGCACAGTAAGTGCCATGGGAGTTGCTGAAGGTTGGGTCTATCCTGGGCGACGGGTCATCTAGGGGCTGGCCATCATAGACCACTGAGTAGCTGACGTCTGGAAGCTGTAGAGTGAACCAGAGAGAGAGAAGAGCATTCAGTGACTTAAAACAATTAACTCACATGGTGTGTTTAGCTAAATTAAAGTATTCACAGAGCTGTATAATCAGCTGGAAACAAGAACAAGTACTTATTTTACATAAAGATCAAGTTTAAGAAATGCGTAAATCATGGCTGTTACTTTCAACAACATTGATTAATGCAGTATCAATAACACCTTCCCCCACTTTCATGGAGGGAGGTGAGGCATCAGTTATCCAAAGTAGCAACCCATTGTTTCACAGGACCAGGAGTACAGTGCCTCTGTGAATTACCATGTAACAGTACAAACTAATTCACCACCTCTTTGCTACTCGCTTCCATCCAACCTTGTTCCTTACCATATCCCGTGCACTATTTGCATTTAATTCGCACTTCCCCCTTACACTATCTTCCAATTCTACCCTTAAATCCACACGAATATACTCTCATCACTTATCTACCACCATCCATTCGTTCAGTATGGCCAAACTATCCCAGCAAGCTGTTCATCGACGATTGCACTCCATTTCTTGCATGACATTATAGTTTCATACTCCATCCTAACACCACACATTTTTTTGCAGTGTTCATATTTTCTGTTGTAATTCTTTAGTTTTCCTGCTCATATTCTTACTACTACAATATCACTTGTATATGTAAACAAGGCTCAGCATTAGTACTTCTCTATGCAGACCCCTGGCTGCATATTTCCTAATGCAAAAAAAGGCTTTAGGCTTTCCTAAATACAGCACTGCTTTTCCTTAGCAGGTTGACCAGACCACACACTAGAAGGTGAAGGGACGACGACGTTTCGGTCCGTCCTGGACCATTCTCAACTTGATCGACTTGAGAATGGTCCAGGACGGACCGAAACGTCGTCGTCCCTTCACTTTCTAGTGTGTGTAGTCTGGTCAACATTATTATTAATATTATTATAAAACAAAAGCGTATAAAACTATTTTTATACGCCATGTTGCCATGATGGCTCGTACTTACATAATTGGCTGCAATGTCTGCATTCGTGGTTTGGATTCCGTCATCCAGAATGGAGAGACGGACACCACGGCCAGTGAAGCCTCGGAGCCACGCCCAGGTGACATTCAGATCGTATCCTGCCTGGCCCAGCTGACCTGTGTTTTCCTAGCAAGAGTGAAGAAAGCTTTTACTGTTTTGAATTAAGTGATGAAATTTGGACCCATAGCCTAGTGATGGAAGGGAAGGGAACTATCATGGGGAAAGCGCCAAGCCATTACGACTATGTAGCACTTGGAAGGGGTCAGGATTAAGGGTTTGGGATGGGACGGGGGGAAGGAATGGTGCCCAACCACTTGGACGGTCGGGGATTGAACGCCGACCTGCATGAAGCGAGACCGTCGCTCTACCGTCCAGCCCAAGTGCCAAGCATTGGAAGACTTGCTAGGCTTATGTGTTTGATAATAAAATCGGAATGTTTTCTTTAATTTTTTTATTTACTGTTTTTCATAACTATCAAACTCAATAAATATCAATGTCCTTTAAAAAGGGTCTGCTGCTGTATATAGGAACGTTCCTTTATTGGTTTAAATGACATATTACGTCAACTAGAAACAACATGAAAGTTTCTTTACCGGGTTATATTGTAAATCATATCACATTAACTTGAAACCATCAAGTTGTATGTACTTGATAGTATTTTGATTTATTAATTTTATTTTCATGGTCATATTTAATTCTGACCAATAATGACAGGTCTAATAACCACATCCTTGAAAATGAGAAGTTTCCTAAAAGTAGTATTATAGAAATGATTTATATCAAAATTAATGATACATATAGGTGCACTTTGAATTATAACTTTACTTTCTAAGATTTTATATTAATAGCTATTGGATATAAATACTAGTCTATACTTACCAAGTACCACTGATCCTTGAAGAAAGGATCATTAAATGTCAATGTAGCCTCTGCACTGTTATCCATCCATACTCCCAAACCATCAGCTTCCTTATTTCCTTGGGTTACTACTGAATAACTTGAACTGTAGTAAATGTCATTTTGCTTTCTATTAAAACTAGTCTGATTTTGAGTATTAGGAATGTGATCTCTTCGGGAAAAAGCTCTCTCATCATTTCTATCTAGAAACTGTTGCATAATGGTCTCGTCGCGTAGAGCTTGAGCTGCAGCAAGTCTGTATGTGGCCGCATCAACAGAGTTGTGAATGGCTCTTGAAAGTGGAATGGATACAGAGTCTTGGGTATCACTAGAATCTTGCGCAGTAATTTGTGTTTTTACAGCTGGAGGTCTGCCCATGTCGAGTTCCGCGTCCTCATTAATCCAATCATCAACAGTCTTCTCCCTTGTGTTCCATTGACCCTCTCTCCTGTTGCCAACTTCAAGGTGTCTTCTGAGGAATGTATCCATCCCGTGTCTCGAGCTGTCTACATTGGTGGGCATGTTATGAAATATCTCTGGCCTTCGTGCAGGTCTGTGTCTTGTCTGATAAGAATTTTCTTGATATTCTCTACTTGATGGTCGTAAAATATGTTGTCGTTTGTCTCTAACGAGTGAGATTTGTTGGTCAACCCATTTAACCTAAGGAGAAAATATTTTTCGTTATTGAATTGCAATACAGTACAAAGTTATTTTTTATTAATGAATTGCAATGAAGGCCGAAGAATATGCACGGTTTACTAAAGTGGAAACTAATTAACAAAAATTTAATAAATAAGGTCACTTATAGTATTACATTTCCTACTGTTGATATAAATAACAATAAAATACAAATTTCAAAATATAAACAGGGAGAAGAAATGCGAGATGAACATATTTACGCACTAGATTTGGGATAGAACTAACTCTTGACACCATGTATAATAAATGCCTTCTCAATATGAGTATACCTGGTAACACATCAAATTAACAAGAAAAAAATCCATCGTTGGGGACATGAAGCCTACTGAGCTTATCGAGATCATCTTAGGCTATTGACTGACCTTCTCTAGAATGCAACCCACAACAGCTACCTAAATCCAGGTACCTATTTACTACAAGGTGAACACTGGCATCAGGAGTAAGGATACGTGCCTAGACGTTATATCACGTCAGGGAAATGAATATATTTTGTTCATATAGGTGCTTAAACATACAAATAATAATAAAATTAGAGAAGTATACTGACCACAGGGTCCTGTGCAAGCAAGTGGATGACATCGTGGGATGGTTGAGCTCGTAGCTGCCTGTTGCTGCTACTGCTGTTGCTCTGGCCGTTGTGTAGGTGATACACTGGTGGGCTGCTCAACACCTATGCAAGACAAAGGTATGGGGTGCATAATAAATGAACTAAATTAACTAAGCAACGTGCAGTCAGAAATATCTTAAAATCACCTACGGATGATGAAAAGGACTACATACATAGATTTATTTGATGGTTGTTCAAGTTATACTAGAAATAGCCTATGTTATCACTGATGAACTGAACGATCGAATGTAACATTTTTACCCGTTAATATTATTATTATTATCATGATTTCGACCAATTATATAAGAAGCAACTCGTCCTCATAATCATATCATTCGAATGTATTTTTTTTTTGGGGGGGGGGGGGGTTGTACGAGATGGCATAGAGAGCTTCACATACCTGGCAAACATATCGCAGGTTATACTTCTTGGCCAAGTACCTGGCCTCTGCCTCTCCACCTTGTACTTCAACAGCCAGATGGTTGGTCATCACTTGTTCACTCTTGCTATCCTGTAAAAATGTCAACATTTTTCTTGATGTATTTTCTTTAACATTGGCGCATTAACATTAATTATTTTAAAGAAATTGAGAATTATTTTCTTCAACATTAATACAGGCGCATTGATATGGGTGTATTCTTGTATGCGACTGGGCATTTCGCGTAAGCAAGGTATCTAATACGCGGTTTACACGAATGACGAACAAGGTTCCTGCAGCACGCACCTGATGATGGTAAGTGGTTCTAATGGCAGCCTGGCGTAGGTGTGTGTTCCTCCTCCATGGGCTGTGGGCGTGGGAGACTATGGCCAGCCCCACACACGCCCATACCGCCCCTGCTAACACCCTCACCACTACACACATTTATGCGGGTCATACCATCGTCTGCCAATGGAATACATTATGAACATTATACAGTTGTTTATAGATTTCCTTTGGAATAGTAATATAAACACATACAATGCAGACGAGGAGTCACAATAACGTGGCTGAAATATGTTGACTAAACTACACACTAGGAAGTGAAGGGACGACGACTCACAATCGACTTGAGAATGGTTCAGGAAGGACCGAAACGTCGTCGTCCCTTCACTTTCTAGTGTAAGTTAAAAGGGTTCAGGTAGTATAGTGGCGTTCGTTCTCGACTCACACTCGAGGATTCAGGACTGGAATCCCGGGCGGGACAGAAATGGTTGGGTGCGTTTCCTATCACCTAATGGACCTGTTCACCCTGTTCACCTAGCAGTAAATAGGTACCTAGGAGTCAACTTGTTGTGGGATTGCATGCTGAGGAGGGTCAGTAATTCACGATGAATTATTAATTATAATTATTATAATTATGAATAATTCATACGAAACACGCTTGTGAAAAGACTGAATTTATTCAATTTTAAAAATAGAATTGTAAAAGGTGATTTAAAACAAGTATTTAATAATATTTTACACTCAAACAATGAGCAACAATGGCTTATAATTATTCGCAGCAAAATATTTTTGTATTTAATCAAGTAAAAAAAATATGAAACACCTTACCAAGTGATATAATTCAGGGTAATATAAAAAATAAATTTAAAAACAACTTAGGCAAGCAATTCGACTCTTCCTCGCCTTACAAAGTTTGTATCACCATTCTCTTGCCAACAACAAGCAGCCTAGTTTAGATCCAACAGTCAATTGTTATTTGATATGCATTCAAATAACATGAATGATATGCCGCTACATGATATGCTAGGCACGAGACCAGATCAAGGCTCGTGGAATTCACGCTCTGCGTGGAAGATGAATGCAGTGTTATTCACTGAATCTAAATCTAAATCGGCCCTGAATAACGTAGCCAATTTGCTCTGGTAAGGTCAATGTTACTTGACACATCGTTTACTTTTCCCAGCTCTGTACTGAGAAATTCCACACTTGAACTGCACATGCTGAGCCAGTTAAAATTGGGCGCTCCCAAATTCTCAAAACAAGTCTTATTCCCAAATCTAACAAATGGAATGCTTTTCACTCCAATGCTTTGGGTAGCTGTCTCTGCAAACGTTTAAGAGGATGGTTTTCAATCCGTCTTCTCTAGATATTTACTGTACCCCAGGTATTCATGGATCCATATTGGGAGTGCATTACTATATTACCAACCTTCTTGCCCTACACACTGGAAAGTCCTATACAATGGAAAGTTATACACACTGGAAGGTCCTATACATTAGAAGGGCTTACACACTGGAAAGTTTACACAGTGGAAAATCCTTCGCCACCTTCCTAAACCTCGAGTCTGTCCTTTCACATTGTAAATCATGTCTGAGTGACCTCACCATCAGAAGGTAACTTCCTTCCTAGATCAAAGGTTATCTATGCAAAGGGATTGCATTTGTGTTGTCTCAAGGACTCAGGAGTGTACCTGGAGACTTTTTAACTAAGCACCGCGCAGGCAGGTGTCCTTAGCCATACGTTACTCAATATATTATCCAATGCCCCGTTAACATGATTCAGACTGAACGGTCAGAAAACACTCGGTATATCCTCAACTATATTATTCATCTCGTTCTCAGGTCCCATCCAGCGATTTTCACGGTTTGGGTCTTTCCGTGGCGTATGAAGAATTTAGGGCGTTCGGTGGCATATGCACTATTTAGGATATGTAATGAGAGAAACATTAAATATATGTACATAAATTAATAAAACAAAATTCTACTGCCGCTGCTCGTTATTAGGACAGTGATAAGAATAGAATCATCGTATGAGGAAACAGGAAGCAGCCGATGTGAGTGAATCCATATATGGTTTCAAACGTAGATCTGACTGACCGCAAAATAAGTTACAGGTCCGCTGTACCATTAACCACTGATCACAGAAAGCAGAAACAGAAGCTGGAGCTTAATTGCCATAAATAAAGCTAAATAAATATAAATTTTAAAAATTTTATTGCAATATCCAATTCTTAGTATTGTTTCCCGGCATTACTTTTCGAATTACTGGAGAGTAAACAACTCCCCATGAATTAGACAACTGCATGAAGACAGAGCACGGTTTCTAGGGATATTTCATTCACCTGGGCTGTAAGTGAGAGAATGGGATAATTTTCTAGGGATAATTTGTACGCAGTCCCGTAGCACAGTGGTCTACGTCGTTGGTTTGCAATCGAGAATCTATGGCTCGATCATCGGGAGGGACAAGGACGGTTGGACACGTTTTCCCTTCATCTCATGCTCCTGTTCACCTAGCAGTAAACAGGTAGCAGGGAGTTAGGCAACTGTAGTGGTTGGCCTAACAGACCTGTCTAGACTATGGAAAATGGACTGTGTGTAGAACACACAGACATCAGGGACAAAAATACACTGCTAGCTACAAGGTCCATAGATGAATATTCTTTCACAAGGTCGATAGTTCATGTAAACAAATTATGTATTATTAGAGATCATTAGAGGTAGAGATCAAACAAATATGCTAATAAGCAACTTGGCATATTTATTGCGATCAAATTTAAGCTACTTTACCTGTCGAGTTTAGCATTGCGTAATACAGGGTATATGCATAAACACTACTTTGAATCCATGTGCATACATGTCAGACTCAGGGCAAGTCTTTGTGAACTTCTGTTTTGCTCTGGGTAGATAAATATAAATTACGAAAAGATAAGATGAGGAAAATAATGAGGAAGCGGATAATAAGGATATAAAACCGTCTGGCGGAAACGAAGAGATGTGTGATATTGATACGATGGGATGGTGGGAGGTGTTAGATATGGGGAAGGGACGTGGAAGGTGTTAGATATGGGGAAGGGACGGTGGTAGGTGTTAGATATGGGGAAGGGACGGTGGGAGGTGTTAGATATGGGGAAGGGACGGTGGAAGGTGTTAGATATGGGGAAGGGACGGTGGGAGGTGTTAGATATGGGGAAGGGACGGTGGGAGGTGTTAGATATGGGGGAAGGGACGGTGGGTGGTGTTAGATATGGGTGAAGGGACGGTGGGAGGTGTTAGATATGGGTGAAGGGACGGTGGAAGGTGTTAGATATGGGTGAAGGGACGGTGGAAGGTGTTAGATATGGGGGAAGGGACGGTGGGAGGTGTTAGATATGGGGAAGGGACGGTGGGAGGTGTTAGATATGGGGGAAGGGACGGTGGGAGGTGTTAGATATGGGGGAAGGGACGGTGGGCGGTGTTAGATATGGGGGAAGGGACGGTGGGCGGTGTTAGTTAAAGAGGGACGGTGAGAGGTGCAATTTTATAAACGTATTCTAAACGTGTCAGCACAATCTCGTCATTTCCCGTGAAAGGTAAGTTATCAATTATCTACTCCGGATAGCAAGACAATCCCAACACATATACTTGCTCAATATCTTAAGATCACATCCATGAATAACAATGATTCGACAACTCACTTTTAAGCTATAACTGCTATAGGCAGCAACGTAAACGAGAAAGGAATCTGCAGACTGATTTGCCCTTGCAAAACAGTTCCTACTAATATACAATCACTGTCAATGTACGTTTGAAACGATATCGTAATTTGTCTTTACATCACTTCGTAACCTATTACAAGGATCTAAAATATGGCTTCAGTAAGTGCTTACCTATTTCGCTCGTAAATCAATTTTCCAATTTATGCACGCTTTTATTTTTAATTACATCACTTGGTAAGCTGTCCCAAATGTTGACTACATGTTTAACGAAAGCTGTTTACAGTTTGGTATTGGGCTTAAAGCCTATAAATCGCAGGATAATTATTAAGGCCACCACAATAGCCTACTGGCTAACCAGCAAATATACTTGTTCAGGTATAATTGTCCTGAACATAGTTCTGGTCTAAAGTAGACTCGGTGTATAGACACCGAGAAGCTTTGGAATACTTCTGTGTGTATATATTCCCTGACTTTTGGCTTTGCAAACCCGTTTGTATATACAGTAATTTGGAAACCATTGTTGCACGTTTTGCGTAATTGTGCAATAGAATACTGACTGAAATTCCACACTATAACCAAGAAACTCTGTTTGCGATTTCAGTGTCTCCGTTAAAGGGTCACAGCTTTCTCAGTTTTAGTAGTCAGTGCTATTTGCAGTTAATGCTATGCTTGCGCAACCTGCGTTTTAAACATTAGCCAATAATACCAATTAAATCCCAAAGCAAACAAAATCGCTCATAAAGAATGACGACCAACGAAATAATCTATTATTGCAAAGTTGTTTATAGCTTCGTGAGAAACATTATCGGTGGCAGGAAGCCTGCGTATTTATGTACTTTAGGCTTCTATGGGGGTAGGCTCCTACCCGCCCTCAAGGTGCAACTAAAGACCCTCCCCCCAGGATGCAATTCCAAAACAGTTGCCTAACTCCTGGGTGTTTATTTACTGCTAGGTGAACAGTAACATTTGATGAAAGAAAATGTGCCCAACCATTTCTGTTCCGCTGGGAATCAAACTCTGGATCCCAGAGTGCGAGTCGAGAGCGAAGCCAACCATACCATTCCTTGATATAATATTTTATAATTCCTCCATCCTTTTTTTTACATTTTAACAGTAGACAAAAATAATAGAGAAATTGAATTTATATATTTATCCAGGTATATTCGTCTTTTTAGGCTACTCACCTGATGAGTAAGACTTTATTATGTGTTTTGTCATGGCGTTGACAACGGTTGTTCATGGATCGTTAGCAAAATAACTAGTTAATACTAACTTTGCCAAAACTGCCGCTCTTGACTCTTGTAAGTAATCTAAAGTCACATGGGCATGACTTTTCACTGATGGATCTGTTCAACAGGTTTAGTGCAACAGACTGCAAATTTCCAGCAACAACAACTGTATTCACCTAGTTGTGCTTGCGGGGGTTGAGCTCTGCTCTTTCGGCCCGCCTCTCGACTGTCAATCAACTGTTTCTACTACTACTACT